AATTCTCAGCACCCACATGACAGCTCACAATTATCTGTAACTCCAGTACTGGGGGGTGGGAGGGGGAATCTGATGCCATCTTCTGGTCTTTTCAGGTACTGCATGTATGTGATGCACAAAAATATGCAGGCAAAATATGAATAGACATAAAATAAAAATAAAAGCCCAATAGCAAAGAAGTATGTCTTTACTCTAAGTGCTCAGGAAGCAGAGGCAAGTGGATCTCTGAGTTTGAGGCCAGCCTGGTCTACAGAGGGAGTTCCAGGACAGCCAGGGCTGTTATACAGAGAAACCCTATCTCAAACCCCCCTCACCACCAAAAAAATAGAAAAGAAAACAAGGGTTCTTACTATTCTGACATTAGAAAATATAGAAAGTAAACGATCAACAAATTAGAAATATATATTTTGAATATGCATCTACAGTTTCCATTTAACTTTCCTGAGACAAGGCGGTAGCATGAGTCTGCAGACTGTGGATAACGGAAAGGCTTTCTCTAGAGAGAACACCGGATTTACAAATCACAGACTGAAGGATATTCACCCTCCTTTTGCAAGGAGCAGTTTCAGGAACTGCTCCGAATTAAAATAAAAAGAGGTGCTAAGAGAAAAAAAAAGAAAAGAATAGTTGTATTTCTTGTTCTCCTTGAAAATATTCCATTAAATAGACTATGTCATAGATAAAAATATTTGTACTTCTGAAAACTGAAAATCATGAAAACAAAGTATGCGATGCATTGGCAGCCAAGAAGAGCCTGGGCAGTCCTGATGACGCCCAGGGGTCCTGGGTGCGCTCCTAGCAGGAAAGAAAAGGGCACGAGGGAAGACGAGCTGCGATCTGAATCAGCGCCTGATCGCAGCTCACACAGATGCATTAGTGTGATTCCTTTGCTGGACCAAGTGTGCTGTCATGCTTGTGTCAAGCATGTGACAAGCAAAGGAAACTGTGGCGTGTTCAGGAAGTCTGTAGTAGCTGTTCATTTTTAAAATAATATTTTTTCTAGTAAGTCAAGTTTATTAAAAAGTTCTATTTCTTAGCCCAATTGAAATTATTCTATTAATAAAAAAATCCACAATACTGAGGGCTTAACTCATAGGCCTAGATTAAGGGCAGTAAAAGACTTCAACCATGAGTTGCCAACAGCTCACGGACTCTACATTCCTCAGGAATCCAGCTCGGCCACAAATCCAGAAACTGAAATCCTTTCCGCAAATTTCAATGGGATCAATGATTATAAAGACAATAAAGCAGGCTGTTAAACTTTGCTCATCCCAAACAACTCTCTAGCCCTAAAGCGCACAGCAGGCTTCTCAAGCAATGCAATCTCTGTGTGCAGAAGTAGAGCTAATAATTTCCACGGACTCAAACAAGCTCAGGGAGTCAGGGCCTTTATCAGCTGTCTGCCCTTGCAGGGGGAGGGCGTGCACAGGTCAGCCCAGCTTTAAAGACTCTCGGCCCAAGTACCCAATTTACCCAATGGTCTGACACTAGCATTTTTGCAAGTAAACAAACTCCATGACCATTGCTCTTCTTGCCTAATGATTCTTTAAGAACAAAGTTCCACAAATAGCATATCTACCGGTAGCTTAGGAACTGATGCATGAATCCTCAAGGGACATTCTGGCCACAGTAATTAGTAAATTAGTAATTAGTAAAACAGATTTCAAGGTGACAATGTGTTGATTCCAAACAGTCATACTTCCATTAAAATTATAACTATTTATTAAAGACACATGAAAGAAATCAGTTCAGGAGAAGACTAAACTGATGAAAGAACGCAGATGAAGATGGGATGGACACATAGAAAAGCCAATGCCTGGAGTATGAGTTCATCGAGAACACTCTTGCTGAACCTTGCACTCCCTCTAGTGGTTCCTTCATTCAAATGCAACACTTATATAACAGCTCAGCGGGTTAATGTTTCATGAAATCAACTACACTCCGACTGCTTATCTAACTTTGGGATAATCTCTCTAATCTCTCTCTCACCCCTGCCCCTCTCCCCAACCTCAACCTCCCTTTCCTCCCCTCCCCACTCTTTCTGTTCTGATAATTTCATTCAGTCTGTTAAGAGATTACCATTGATTCAGTCAACATATACTGAGAGCCTACGATGATAAAGCATTTGCTAATCTTACCAGTTTAATCACTTTATTTTCTATTTCCTAAACATTGACAATCAATAACTTGACTGGTAGCACTCGCACCCATGGCTGGAAATTCGTATTTCCTCCTTTTCTTTCTGCCGTCTATTCCAACTTTCACGCTCATTTGTCTCTGCAAACATTTTCACTGGGGATTTGCTATATGCTAGATACAGTTCTAGGCAGTGGAGCTACAGGCACGAATAGAAAGGCCACACAGAGAAAATGCTATGAGAGGACCTTAAGGGAATGAGGTGGCATTCTTTGAATGAGGAGGAAGTGGGGACAGCAATGGGAAAGGCCTGGGGCTAGCACAAGGAGTCAAGTGGCTAGACAACACTGAAGGAAGGAAGAGATGAATAGTTTTACCAAGGAACGGAGACAGGAGTATTTGGTAGGGATGAACAGACCACAGCATGATGGGCTTTTTTTTTGCTTTTACTCTTCATCAAACAGGGAGGCAGCCAGCCAATGCAGCAGAGGAATGATGGAATCTAACTTATTTTGTAAAAGGGTCACTGTGGCCGTCCTGAGAACACACAAAAGGGACACAGCTAGAAGCAAGAACACTAGCTGGGGAGCTGCTGCAATAAACCAAGAGAAATGTTAGTAGCTGGCATGAGGGATGTCAGGCAGGAGGTAGAAGGACATGACAGATTCTGGACATCTGAAGACAGAATTACTTTCCTTTGAAAAATCATCTAAGAGATTGGATGTGAATCATGAATAGAAAGAGTCAAGAATGACTCCAACATATTTGGCTTCTATGGCCTCAAGAATGGCGTAGTTTTATTTTGAACATACTGAGTTCAGGATGTCAACTCGATACCCAACAATCAACTTACACTTGACCATTCTCTATCCTAGGCAGTCACTTTTGAGGGGCAGGGGACTCCCTTAGCTTAGGGTTCCCCTTGGAGCACTTTGCCGGTTATCTCAGCACAGTACAGGGGGTTTCTCTTCAGTAGTTCTGATCTAGTCATATTACTCATTCCTGCTGCCTTCGCAGCACCAACCTGTCAAACTAACTAACTAGGACATTATCTTTCAACTCAGCTTCTCTACAGCTTTCGGGATTCGGGCAGAATGAAGGCAGATACTTGGCCAGAGTATCACACAAATGCACTCTATCTGGGTTACAGATAGTCTTTGTTCCCCTCGGAATCTTCATGAACCAGCCCTTCACAGAACACATTTCTCTTAGCATGCTTGTGTTCCAAGTTACCGGAACAGCCCATTAAGTTCTACTTCCGGCATTGAACAGCCTTTCTAAACCCAAAGCACCGGACGTGTCCACATTCCAGCCACAAACAGTTGCAAAGGCCCAAGGACCAAGCAGTCAGGTTTATCCCAGCCACGAAGCATGTCCTGGTACCAATTTCTGCCTTAGTTCCTTTTCCCGATGCTGTGATAAAATCCTCTGACAAAAGCAACAAAAAGGGAAGGAGGTGGTTATTTTAGCTTAATTCCAGGTCACAGACCATCATGGCATCAGGAGCTTGAAGCATCTAGTCTCCTTACATCCTATCAGAAGAGGGATGAACACATGGCTGCTTCCTAGTTCCTGTTCTCCAGGTAACAGTCCAAGATCCTCTGGGAATGTTCTGTTCACAGGTAAGAGAGGTCTTTCTACGTCAATTAATGTAACCAAGATAACCTCACACAGGCATGTCAGAAGCCCATCTATCTCCCGGACGAGTCTACTTCCTGTCAAACTGATAAGGTGTTACAACGTTAACCATTACAGCACCTCTTTATTTTGATGGTAAGTATGTATGCATGCATGTGTGTGGACAACACGTATGGAGGTCCAAGGTTGATATCTGAAGTTTTCCTCATTCTCCTCCGCCTTACTCACTGAAGCATGGTTTCTAAATTGAACCCAGGAGCTCACTGATACAAGCTAGCCAGCTTGCTCTGCGGATCCTGTCTCTACCTTCTGAGCCCTAGAATTACAAGCAGGCTGCCACCTTCACAATTTATTTCCATGGATTCTGAGGATCTAAACCTTGATCCTCAGTATCTTCATGTTTTGACACCAAGTGCTTTATCCACTGAGCCATTAGCTTCAATGTGCTTTTAGATCACTGTTTCCAGATTCAGCTGAAAACAACATTTTCCACCTACTTGGGCAAGGAACTCGATATTTTTGCCATTCCCCTTTTTTTATGCTCAGCAGCCAATTAATCACCAAGGGTTGTTTATTTGTTTGCTAAATAATGCAGGCTCGTGTCACCCTTATGGCAATCTTCCTGCCTCATTCCCCACATACTGGGAGGATAAGCATGTGCCAAGGAGACTGGCTCTGTCACTGAGTTCTGCTGGTGACACCGACAAGACCGCTCCAGGACTCTCTCTCCTTTTCACATCTGTTGTTGCTATCCTTGTTCCTGCTTTCATGACCCCTGAGCTGGCCACTGAGCAGAACACTGTGATCTTTTTGCCTTCATCAGTAGGAATGAATAGAGGAGTTCAGTTCTTCCAGGGTCAGGAAGTAGGGGTGGAGGAAGGGGCAGGGCCCAAGTAAGAGTATAATTCACTCCCAGTCCTGGTACTTGGGCCTTAAATAAAGGGACTACCAGACTCACACTTGAGAGAGTACTAACGTTGATTGGGGTGAGCATAGCTATAACAGGATTATCAGAACAGTGTCCCCTGGGTGCACCAACCTTTCCTCGTCAACAGCTCTGCCAGTCAATCAGGCAGTAGGCCAATTGTGAACCTGCTAGAAATCTGGCTCTCTGTGACGATACAACTGTTCCCTTAATATCCTACTAAAATAAACAAACAAATGAATAGGAAAAATAAGAGAACTGCTCTCTCTCAGATTTCAGGTCTATGGGAGCACGCAGCAGGGTACAATGTAGCCGCACTACACCATGGGCTAGTGAGAGCCGGGAGGAGCGACCATGGCGGAGGAAGGACACAAAGGTAAAGGAGATGTTCTGCTGTAGGAGGGCAGTGGGTAGATGACTAAAATTCATTTCAAAGATTTCTGGGCAAGAGTCCTTCAAGTTTGGGCTTGTGGAAGTGGATCTGTGCTGAAAGGCAATGTATCTGGTGTCACCCAGCTAGAGACTCCAGTCGGCAGAATTCATATAGAACTTAACAGCACGCACTCTCTGGGGGTTAGTGTGTATCAGGAGCTGCTGTTCTTTATAGTGCATGGTTAGTATTCCTTATAATACAATGGCTTCACGAGATAGGTACTATTATCATCATCACCGCTTAGATGTGAAGAAACTGAGGAGAGAACTTCTAAGCTATTCAAGGTCAATGTAGGAGGCGACAGTGCTGGGATTTAAACCTAGACAGTGTGGCTTCAGAGTCCCCTAAGCCTTATGCATTGTTACCATGGTTGGGCATGGTGCATCTAGGAACATAAACCTTTGGGCTGTACCATGATCAACTTGAATCTTTGTGTACGATAACATCTGCCTGCTGTCTATGCTATTGCTAGAGGTGAATGATTACAATGTTGGGCTGGAACCAGTTCCATTGCTTCCTGATAATCTAGTCTCCAAGTCTGCTCTGGCTGCTCCAGAAGGTAATGGTTTGGGCTCCTAATAACATGCTGCCTCTTTCCCTTTAAGGAAGCACCTCCCTATCTTCCAAGTGGCCTTGATCACTAAGAGCTCTGGTTATTACTTGGGGCAATAGACCTTGTTTGGGTCCAGCTTCCTAAAGAATTGGTACAAGGAAGGGGATCAGAATATCCTGATCCTTCTAAGAGGGGACAGTACCCCTACCTCTGCAAGCTGATGACAGTGGAGACTGCAGGTTGTCTTGGCTACTTTTCAATTGCCATGGTAAGACACCATTACCAAGGCAACTTATAAAGCATTTAATGTGGGCACACAGTTCTAGAAGGTTAGTCTATGACCATCGTGTCAGGGAGCATGGCAGTAATCAGGCATGGCATTGAAGCAGAGACTGAGAGCTTATATCTGATATACAAGCATTGGACAAAAACGAAGAATGGCACGGGCTTTTGAAATCTCAAAACCTGCCCCCAGTCACCCATCTCTTCCAACAAGGCCACACCTTTTAATCTTTCATAAACAGTTCTACCAAGCATTCAAATATATGAGCCTACGGGGGTCTTTCTCATTCAGACCACCACACAGCCCAAAGTTGAGAAGTAAATGGAGACCTTAAGTTACTGGAAGGTCTTGTGTGTGTGTACGTGTGCGTGCTTGAGAACTAAATAACGTTATCTTAAGGGGATGGATACTGGGGTGCTAAAGATGCAGAGGGACCATGGAGCTGCTGCCGTTTTCAGTCACCTAGGAAACTTCATTTCACAAAGGTTCACATCCAGCTCATGCAAACTCTGGCACACACACAAAAATGTAGTTTGGAGGGAGGCGCTATGTTCATTTCTGCGGAATGAGCCTAGGAAAAGTACCGCTGTAATCATTGCATTAGCACCTCGCCCAGAGAGCCTAGCATCGTATTAGGTGAATTTATAAAAACACTGCCAAGAGAATCACACCTACTCTACGAGGGGCTCAACATCTCATCTGCTGCAGGGAGGCGGGAGTGCTGTACAGGAACTTGCTGTTCATTACCGTTCCTGATCTACGTAAGGTCTGTGAAGACCTTAAACTCAGGAACTGATTAGAAGGTTTCAGATCATGGAAAGGATTTTCTGGATAGTAATTACACTGACAGGATTATACCAACAGAAAGATCCCCCCCCTTTTTTTTCAGAAAGCAGCTCAAGACCAAGATGAAGAGATAGAGGATCTGATAAAACCTGCTCCAAGGTACTGACCAGACTTTGGTTTTATAGAACGCCTTGATATGAAGCTGAGAGAGCGAGCGCCTTTGCTGGTAAATCTTGAACATCAAGGTTTCTAAATCATCACTGCTGTCAGTTTATTTGCTTCAAAGGAGTGAGCTGGACTGTAGCAGAGTGAGCGGTTGGTTAAAAGGGGACTCTCTGCAAGAGTAGGCATGGTGTAAGAGGGTGGAGGCTTGCTGGTAGCCATACCCTGAAATAAAACTCTGATATGGGTAGTACACTAGTCAAATTTCAGACCAAAGTGGTATAATCAGAAAGGGAAATGCCAGTGTACCAGGCCTGGTCTCAGCTGCACAAGCAGCTAGAGCTACTGAACCAAGGGCTTTGTCTGAGAGGTTGCCTGAGATGCCAGGGTAGAATCCAGTGTGGGTATGGTAAATGACTTTTTAACCAATACTTATTAAATACCATGATCTTTAATGTGATTATCGCATTTAATCCTTATAATCCCATGAAGTGGATATTATTACTACCTGTAATTTATGTGGACGTGGAGGCCCAGAGAGGTAGTAACTGATGGATCTAAAAATTTCTGAGGCTCAGAATGGCTGAGAATTCTTAGGCTCTGTGTTCAGAATTAATGGCACTTGGATCCACTATGATAGTGTCTGTCCCAGCTCTACAGGGACCATAGGAACATACCTCATCCACTGGAGGGTAGGGGAGAGTGCCATAGGGACTTAGTTGGTTACTGCTCTAGTGGCCAGGTGACAGTTTTATTATGGAGAAACTGGCCCCTGATCAGTTAATATGTATCAAGAGAACAGTTTGGGCTGCCCACTGATTTCCCTGGTACTGTGCTTGTTTTGTAGGTGCCAGCGTGGGAAAGGTCTGAGCAGCAAGAGACAAGAACCCACGGATGAAATGAGGTGTCTGTCTTCGTGGTGAGATGACGTGGCTGTCTTGGGATCCAGATCTCCTTTTCATGTAGTTATCTACATGTTGGTAAGGCTGGAGCTGAGGACAGGTGGGTGGAGGAGAACGTTTGGCTGCCACGGTAACACGTTCTGCTATGTACAGAGCTCTTCGGAGAACTGGGCCTCTAGTACAGTCACTTTGATTTTCTCCATCTGATATATAAAAAGATGGGGGCTCCTGGGACTCCAACTCTTGCAGACTGACCTTAACTAGACAGTAAGTACAAGTTAGAAGCCCGGCTCTGCCAGGCCGCACACAACAAAGCCTTCTGTCTATCATTCACTGCCCCCTGGTGGAACACACGGGAAACAACATCTGGAACAATCCTCTGGACAATGATCTCTTTCCTACAGGGGCGGAGGCAAAGATGCTCTATGTGGTCAGGTGGAAGGCTGCAATGCCATGCAGTGAGAGGGAAGAAGACAGAACTGAGGGCTGGAGAAAAGTGTAGCTGAGCTGAAGATGCAGGTCTTATGTGTGCTGTCAGAACAGGATGAAGAGAGATGTTGGGAGCTAAGATTTAGAACCAAATGGAGACAGACATACCAGGCAGGTGAAGGGCTGAGGACTAGCTAAAGGGAACAGCCCAATGTCATCTAGACAAATTGAGGAAGTTGAGTCACTGTCCTGTGGCAGGTTCTAATAATCCTCTAGCGCTGTTTACAACGGTAGGGTGAGCTCCATTTTAAGAAAATCTGGATGGAACAAAGTGAGTTCCTAATAGACTGGCCTCAGAAGAATCCGATGACTCAAAGAGGTTCATGGGCAAATGAAATAGGAAAGTGAGTCATTTCACACGGAAGCAGGCAGCCTGACAGGCTTCTCCCCTTGCTCATAGGTAACCCCCACATTCCTGCCACAGTCATCTATGACGACAGCCCAGGCAGGCCTTGAACTTGCAGACTTCCTGCTTTGGCTTCCCAAATAGCTGAGATTACTGGTTTGTGTCACCAGGGGTGACTCTCCCTGGCAAAATTAGCACCATTTAACTGTGTGATTCTGTTTTCCATGAAGCCTAACTCATCTTCTGTCACTGTCCAGTTTACACTATAGCCCGCCCCCACCTCCGGCAATATGAGCTCTAAGCTGGACCTGAGGCCTCCCTGCTTTTTGGGGTGCTGCTTCACATTCAATTGATGTTGATTTCACGTCTTATTTTATGCTGCTTTGCCTCTGCAAATGCTATTGAGGCTTACTGACGTACCCTTCCTCTACCTTTTTAGATTCCCGGCCCGGTCCTTTTCACCCTCTGAAACTTCATCTACCCCCGTACAGATCTTCTCTATAGTACTGCTTCTCAACGATTTTCTCATTACTGTGCCTGGCTCCCACTCCAGGATCCCTTTAAGACAGCTTTCCTTAATCACCTCCTCCTGCCATGAAATTTTAATATGGTAGATACACTGTACATCTGTTTATGTACTGAGTCCCTCTGGACGACTATAAATTACTATAACACTAAAGTTAGTTCACCTTCAGTAATGAATTTTTGCTCCTCCGGGACACCATCACCCATGTGGTGAATGTATGCAAAACAGGGTCAAACACTGCTATTCGAATGTATCTTTCTGCGGGGAAAGTCATTCTTGAGACTTCCTAATTCTTTGACCCCCAACCCCCAGATAGGGTTTCTTTTTGTTGTCCGGTCTGTCTTGGAACTCCCTCTGTAGACCAGGCTGGCCTCAAATTCAAGAGATCCACCTGCCTCTGCCTCCCAAGTGCTGGGATTCAAGGTGTGTGCCACCATGCCCAGCTGACCATCCCTTCTCAAAATCTCACCATAGTCTTTTATGAGCCGCCCATGTGTGTGTCCTCTAGGGATGGAGTCCAAAGCTTCACACATGGTAACTATGCGCTCTACACTGAGATAAACCTTAGTTTCCTTTAATAACTGCCATTCCGCAAGGCTCAATATTTGTTTTATCTCCTCTATTTTATACATTCTTTCCAGGAGATGTGGTTTATTTCCGTAGTTTTATTAACTACCTATGATGCTATTAAATATGAGCCTATCATTTCACTAAAGTGCTTGCCCTTAGCTACAGTCTCTTGCTGTTATTAGCATAGTCTATAGGCTAGTGGTGGGCAGCCTCACTGAGGGTTTCTGTCAATGGAGATTCCCAGGTTTTGTCCCAGACCTCTTGAACCAGAGTTTGCATTTTAACAAGCTCCTAAGATATTCTGTATGCATACTAAAGATAAAGAAGGCCCAGGGCTGTGTCCTATTACCAGCTCTCTAACGGATACTGTTAATAAGATGTAAGCACATTAATCCTGATGTACCTCAACAGAAGAGTCATCTACACACAGAGTCCACGCTGCCCACCTCTTCTATGTCATTTCTATCTACCTGGTCACATTCCTAGCTGTTCTACTAGTAGATGGCTCTTGACTCTATTTCCTCTTCTATGCTAATCACTATTGCTTTCATCTACTCTGAGGTAGATTACCATTGAAGGCCTAGCCGATTTCCTGAGTCACAGCCTCTCTCCCCCGAATTTGTCGGCCAACTACAGTTAGAGATGTATTTCTAAGCTACAAGCCTGAAAGAGATGGAACTCTTGGCTAAATTCCTTTCAGTGACTCTTAAATGTGGAAGTGAGGGTTCTGGCATCCAGAACAGGGTTTAGGAAATCTTCTGAAACTATAAGGAAAATTTGTGTTGTTTTCATTTTCAAGGGACAAAGAAACAGTTTTCATTAGATTTTCTGAGGTGTTCTAGGACAAAGTCAGTTAAGAACGACTAAAGAAAGGACCAAGTTGACAAAATCCAAACTATTTAGTTTGGCATATAAAGACCCTCCCTCCCTCCCTCCCTCCCTCCCTCCCTCCCTCATCTCTCTCCACCTGTCTGCAGGAGCCCACGCTTCCAGGCTTAAGGACAGACACAGCAGTCCCTATGACTTTTCCATCTCTCTGCTTCTGCACTCCCTTTCTGAAACAACCCTGTAGTTGCACATACCTTCTAAGTGGTAGAGCCCGGATGTGCATCCAGGTCTTACTTCAGAACTCACAGTCAATTCTACAGTGCCATGACATTTCGCATTCTTAGTACTCACAAGTACACCAGATTTCCACCCAAAACAAGTTTCCTGCAATTCTCATGTGTAGATCTCATATATCATAGATATCCTAGGTACGACAATGTATACCAGTGTTGCAGTTCACTAAGTTATAATGCCCCATTAATGAGTTACCACAATCAGTATTAAAAATGCCGCACTAGTCTTTTGCTGATACAGGGAGTTCTCATTTCTTTTTTTTTTTTTTTTTTTTTTTTTTTAAATATTTATTTTATTTATTTTGCATACAATATTCTGTCTGTGTGTATGTCTGCAGGCCAGAAGAGGGCACCAGACCTCATTATAGATGGTTGTGAGCCACCATGTGGTTGCCGGGAATTGAACTCAGGACCTTTGGTAGAGCAGGCAATGCTCTTAACCACTGAGCCATCTCTCCAGCCCCCAGGGAGTTCTCATTTCTGCGCAGCTATTATTTTAGTCCTAGCATTTGCAAGGTTTCGGGACTTCCTAGGAATGCAAAAGCTATGAATGTGTTTGCTAGTGCACTGACCACTTACTATCAGCTTCGACTCAAGCAACCCTCTCAACTGTGCACTAACACCCAGCCCCTCCAGCTGTTCATTTCCAGTCTCCTAGGTCATCAAAACCATCACCTAGCAAATCAACACTAATTTATCACCAAGTAAAGCTATAAATCTTGTATAAAATACAGGATATCAGGGACTGAGCACACAAAATTGAAAACATCAGTATGGTAAACTAATTCATAACTGAAAAAGAAGAAAATAAATAAGGATCATGATTGTTAAATGTAGTTTGGAAGAGGCTGTTGTGAATACTAAGAAGATTAAGGAGAAGCTTGCAGGAAAACAGGTGAAATCCTCGAATATCCTGGCCCAAATCAGCCCTTAATAACCATGCTGCAAGAATCTCACAGGATCCAATACATCACCTTGAAATACCATGCAATTTTGTTTAAAAAAATAGACCTTAAACAAAATCCACCAACCCTTGGCACGTTGTTTGTTTACTGGGGGAAGTGCATAGCTTTATACACGCTCATTTGTACGAAACAAGGAAACCAAACTAACGGGGCTTTCTCCTTACTCGGCCTCGCATCCTAATCAGGCTCCAAACACCCCTCCTTTAAAAAGGTTTGTGTCCATTTTATGTGTAAGGGTGTTTTTCCCGCATGTGTATACGCGTGTGCCCGGTGCCAGTGAAGGTCAGAAAAGGACACCATATCCCTTATAACTGGAATTATGGACAGTTTTGAGCCACCACGTGGGTGCTAGGAACTGAACCCAGGTCCTGTGCAAGAATAGCAGGTGCTCCGTTGAGCCATCTTTCCACACCCACCTCCCCCTTTCTACAGCTACAGTCTCACTATGTAGCTGGTCTCAAACTCGCAATCCTCTTGCCTCTGTCTCCAAAATTCTGAGGGTACAGGTATGCACTGCATTGTCACGTTAGTACCCCTTGAAAATGGCTTCACTAGGTGACCACTTGTCTAGTCTCACTTGAAAAATAAGAACCTCCCATATGCTTGTTTCCTTAGCGTATGACATACAGCAAGGGCTTACTGTTTGCTAAATGAATGACTGCAATTGTATCTTCTGCCCCTGACTCAATAGCATACTGAAATATACCAAAATTCTTCAGTAAGTCCTCGCCAACACCAGGAAAAAAGCCCTACTCCTTAGCACAAAACACAAAACTTAGTGATGCTGGCCTGACTTATCCTCATCCTCTGGCCGTCTCACTACTGTGGCTCGCCAGCTGCAGCATACTGCTGCTAGGCTGCAATCAATCCTTCTGCCTGGCAATTCCTTCCCTACCAAATGAGAGAGAAACTGACTCCCTTCTCGTTACATACCACCTTATACCTGATTACAAGCACACACACTCA